GGGATCATGACCTGAGCCGAAGGCAGACGCTTAACGACTGAGCCACCCAGGCGCCTCTCACTTTCTATTTTAAAGAAGAAACTTTAAATTTTGGAATAAATTTAGATTATAGAAAAGTTACAAAGACAGTGGAGAATTCTCAAATGTCCTCCACCCCGTTTTCTCTAATGTTTACATGTTATATTAACTGTGATACAATTATGAAAATTAAGAAGTTAACACTGGGGTATTACAATTAACTAAACTACAGACTTCATTCAGATTTCACTAGTTTTTCCACTAAGGTGCTTTTTCTGTTCCAGGATTGTATCCAAGATTCCACATTACATATGGTCATCATGTCTCCTCTTCTGACCTGTGATAGTCTTTTCTTGTTTTTCATGACCTTGACAGATATTTTGTAAAATGCTCTTCAGTTTGGGTTTGTCCGATGTTTTCCCCATGATTACAGTAGAGTTGTGGGGTTTTGGAAGGATGCTACAGAGATAAAAGGTCCTCATCACATCATTTTAGGGGGCACATGATATCAACATGACATCACTGATGATGTTTACCTGGGTCAGTTGGTTAAGGTGGTGTCTGCCAGTTACTGTTTTTCCCTTTCCATACTCTATTCTCTGGAAGCAAATCACTAAGCCAGCCCTCACTCAAGTGGAGATGAATTAAGCTTTACCTCCTAGTGGCAGTTATATACATGTATTATATAGAATTCTTCTGTAGGGAGAATTTGTCCCTTCTCCCCTATTTATTCATTCAATCATTTCTTTATATCAGCATGAATGCATGTATGCTTATTTGACACTTGAGGTTGTAACCCAACACAGTGTTATTTTGTTGCTCAACTGTTGCCAGCTTTGGCCACTAGGTGGTCTTATAGCTTGTCTCCTCTGTTCTTTAACTGCCCTCATCCTTTTGTTTGCTTTTTAGCCACTTTCTTTATATATTTGGAGGAGGGGAAGTATTACTTGAATTTTCTACTAGTATTATCTTCATGATTAGAAAAGTATCAGTTATTCTCACTTAAAATTCGGGGGTGGGGGAGATATGACCACTACTTTGATATTCTACCAACCAATTCCTGCTTGTTTCTCAAGGGCTTGGTAAAGCAAATAAGAAAGCAAAGAACAATTTCTTGCAGAAATTGTACTTCAGTGGGTGTTTGTAAATGGTAAGTAAAATGATAGCAAATGTAATGAACTTTAATAGTTTTCAACTGTTTGGGTGTTAGGTTTGTTAAAAAAAACTTCCAGGACAGAGGTTTCCATTAATCCAACGCCAATTGCATACCTGTGGCAGGCAGTGGGAAGACAAAAATCAAGGGGGAGGAGGGATGCCTGGGTGGCTCAGTCCGTTAAGTGTCTGCCTTCACTCAGGTCATGATCCCAGGGTCCTGGGATGGAGTCCAGCATCAAGCTCCTTGCTCAGCGGAGAGCCTGCTTCTCCCTCTGCCTGCGGCTCCCCCTGCTTGTGCTCTCTCTCTCTCTGACAAATAAATAATATCCTAAAATAATAATAATAAAAAAAAAATCAAGGGGAGGAGGCATGAATTAGGAGGCCAGATTAAGGGAGGGAGGTAAGGGTAAGTATGCTTTTGAGTAAGAAACTCTTCTGTACTGTATCATTAGCCGAGGGTAGTGTTAGACCTGAAGGACAGAGTTAAAACAATACTTACACTCTTGAGAACTGGTGCAGGTTGTGGTCAAAGGGACAGGCCAAAAGACATCATGTCCGATCAAGTTGTGGGAGTGCTCTGGGAGGAGGCTGTAATAGTCGCAACAGCAAACCCTTATTATGAACCAGATGTTCTTATAAACCTTACTGCTCTTCTACGAAGCGGCTGCTATCATTACCATTGTGCAGAACCGAGGCACAGAGAGTTTACATAACGTGCCCAAGCCTACACAACGGGGAATGAACTGAGACTGGAACTCTGGCTACCCATGAATGAGGCGACTTTTGAAAGGGAAGGCGCCTCTCGCCGAGTACTAGCTGGTTCTATCACCACGTTCCCTTGCATTTTCCCCTCCTTCTTAGGTATGGGTCATTTCTCCCACATTTCAGCATTTCAGCACCAAGGCCGCTCAAGCCCCAGGGTAGCAGTAAGGAACTTCCCAGAAAAGTGAAGGGACTTGCAGAAGCGACTGCCGACGCGCGGCTGACCCCGGGAGGCGGCCACAGGCTGAAGGAGCGTCTATCCCCGCCTATCCTCTGGGGCCCACTGGGGCACCTCCGACAACCCTACTCCTGGCCGCCGCAGCTATTTCAGATTCGGGCTTCCGAATTCCGGGAAGGACCGCTTCCGGCGGCACCGGAAGTCCGACGGGGACCCTTTCGGGGACGGACTGCCGGACTGACGGAGGGTAGTCCCGGGTCCGCAAGGTGATTCAGAATCCGGATGCCCAGGCCTAATGTAGCAGCGAAGTGAGTGGGGTTCCTTTGCCGGGTCGTCCCGGGGAGTGTGTATTGTTTGGCCTGAAGTGGCAGTGGCACGGGCTGTAAACACTGAGCGACCGGAAGCCTTCTCGCGGGGCATTTAATCCCTGCGTGACCCCGCCTCAGGCGTAGCGAAAGCGTTATTCGCCCCGAAGCGGCGGGCTGACTCCCGCTCCCAGCGCGCCGCGGCTGCCCCGGGCCGGAGCCCGGGTTCGAGGCGAAACCACACCAGGGCCGTCATTTTTCTACAATGACTTCTTTTTACCTTTCGGATAAATTCCAAGGCTGACACCTCCTACATTCAGCCCTTTCCACCAACGCAGCCACGTTTTTCCAGCATCTCTTTTCAGATTCCATGATAAGAATATCCTAGCTGCGAAAGAACACCGAATTGGGAGTCAGACAGCCTGTCTTCTAGGCCTGACTGTCATTAATTGGTGGTATGACATTGGAGAAATCTTTTTGACGTCCCTGGACTCTTCATTTTCCTTTTCTGTGAAATGAGGAGCTTGGAATAAAAGTAGCAAGTAAGGTTCCTTTCAGTTTTCACAGCTGGATTATTGCCCCCAGTGTGTTTTTCTGATTCCTGCCTCAGTTATCTGTGCTTTGGTTAGTCTCCATGTAGTGCTTTTCTTTCCATTCCGTTAATATATGCCCTTGTCAGGTCTGGTTTTAGACTCGTTAAAAATTTTTTTCCTAAAGGAATCCCTTCACTTCTTAAGCCAGGGACATGTACCTAAATAAGCTTTTTTAAAATGTGCCATTCTTGAGGTGTTTCATGTGCCTGGAAATCTTATTTTGGAGCTCTTTAAAGACAGTAAATTCTGAAGGAAGGGATTCTAGCTCATTAAACTTTGAATCAACGTCCTCAAATGTAATGTCTGGAAGATGGTACTCAGGAAATGTTTGTTGAGGAGAAAACATGTACATCTCACATTATTTATTTGCTCTTTAAAAACTGAAAAGCAAAGCTGTAGAAATGCAGTACTGAGAGCAGAAAGAAGACTCAAGGAGAAAAATAACTATACTCTTGAGTTCTGAACTACACCATTGAGTTCTGTTGCAGTTTTCTCTTAGGTAGCTGTTCTTTCATTCCAAGAATAATATTCAGAAGGCATTCAATAGATGTTTATTAGGTGCCTTCTTCCCCCTCTAAAGCATCTTTTTGGGGGGTGGGGGAGGTGGGAAGAGGGAAAAATATTGAAGCTTGAAAGACAATTCCAAGAAGAGATAGCATATGCAAAGTTTCAAAAATGAGATGACAAGCCATTGGAGATTACAGGGGGTCAGAATAACAAAAGCTTGGAGATAGGAGGGAGGGAACTATAAGAGTGTAAGACATGAAGTGAGAGGTTAGCAGAGGGCAGATAATGAGTCCTTATATAGCATGTTTTCTTGAAACGGGAAAATGGCCAGCCACTGGAGGGTGGTTAGCAAAGAGCTGATGAGTTCAAATTTGCATTTTATTTTTTATTTTTATTTTTATTTTTTTTAAAGATTTTATTTATTTAATTGACAGGGAGAGAAAGAGAGACAGCGTGAGAGGGAACACAAGCAGGGGGAGTGGGAGAGGAATAAGTATAATAAGTATAAGTTGTATTTCAGTTCTGTTGTGGTAGGAACATTAACAATAATGATAGTTAACATCTAGAGAGTAGTATGGAATTCCATCTCCCTGATTAGCCTGTGAGTTCTTTCAGGGCAGGAATCTAGCTCTACTTATAACTCCAGCGCAGTGTTTTTCATGGAGTAGATATCCACTTAATATTTGCTAACTTGATTTTCATATTAACCAAGATACTATTTTAAAACTTTCTCCAGGGGAAACATGAACCAGAAGATACTGAAATTGGAGAACTTGCTACGATTTCACACTGTCTTTAGGCAGCTGCACAGCCTAGGTCAAAGAAGAATGTTAGCACAGTGGAATCATGTGTTTTCATCTGCTTACCCGGTGTGGACAGCTCAGCTCTGCATCCGGCCCTGGCAAACAGACCCGCTCATTGGGGTGGTTTTATCTCAATATAGGCTTCTAGTAACAAAGAAGGTAGGTTTAGATTTCTATCAGTTACTATATTATTTGGTCTGAGGTGAAAGTGCCTATAGCCATGAGTAGAAATCAATTTTGGGTATTTTGTAATTTCCAGAATCTTTATTCCTTAATGCTGCACTCCAGGCAGTAAATCTTTGTGAAGAAGGGAAGTTCTAGTTTGTTGTTCAGTAATGCTGATGAATTTGATTACTTGGAAATTAGTATATAATAGTGAATTAGGGGTGCAGGACTGTAAATTTTAGTCTGAGGTTTAGCTATTTGTGGGAGTGTTGGTAGAAATAGGAGCCATTATTGTGGTAGATATTCCAGAATAAATCTACACTGTCACTTAAAGTTTTTTTTTTTCCTTCTGTATGCGTCCTGAATTTTTACTAGGAAGAAAGATCACAGAAATCTCAGTTATTTTCAACAAAATCCAAAAAGGATGTGGAGGTATGGATTGGAATGACTATTGAGGAACTGGCCAGAGCAATGAAAAAAGACGTAGGTGGGTGAGATAATTTTATGAGGAAAAATATGGGAAATGGAATACCTGGCATTTTTATTTGCAATGAGACCAAGATGTTCAAAGATGAAAATTAGACTGATGGTTTAAAAAGATGTTAAATCATTCCAGTATTTTTCACTCTAGGTCACAAACTCTTATTAGTTTCTTATCTCTTTGCCAAATATAGTTCTCTTAAGATTTTGCCTTTAATAAAAGTGGAAAATATTTTCTTATCTACACTAACCCTTGTTTCTCAGAAATTCTTTTTTTTTTTTTTTAAGATTTTATTTATTTATTTGACAGAGACACAGCAAGAGAGGGAACACAAGCAGAGGGAGTGGGAGAGGGAGAAGCAGGCTTCCCGCTGAGCAGGGAGCCCAATGTGGGGCTCGGTCCCAGGACCCTGGGATCATGAGCTGAGCCAAAGGCAGACGCTTAACGACTGATCCACCTAGGCACCTGTTTCTCAGAAATTCTGTAGGCTTTTAGAGTAAGTCCAAAGAATGTTTTTGGACTGAAGGACTGTATTTATACTTAACTTACTTTCCCTTTGTTGTCTGTGATTTCTGATTTTCTTTTTCACTCGTAACAATATCTGTAGTGCCAGCAGAAAAATATTTTTAGTAGTAACTTTTAATAATACTATTTTTATTTATTATTATTATTATTTTTTAAAGATTTTATTTATTTATTTGAGAGAGAGAGAGTGAGAGAGAGAGAGCACAAGAGGGGGTAGGGTCAGAGGGAGAAGCAGACTCCCCACCAAGCAAGGGACTTGATCCCGGGACTCCGGGATCATGACCTGAGCTGAAGGCAGTCGCTTAACCAACTGAGCCACTCAGGTGCCCACTATTTTTATTTATAAATGTATAGCATCATTGTCCTTTTTTTTTTTTATTCCTTCATTGCATTCTTGGTGTATTTATTACCAATTTAGGATTATTGGAACAGAATTTGAGTTCCCATTATAAACTGACATTACAGTTCAGTAAATGGGGTGCCTGGGTGGCTCAGTCAGTTAAGCATCTGCCTTCAGCTCAGATCAAGATCCCAGGGTTCTGGGATCGAGCCCTACATCAGGCTCCCTGCTCAGCGGGGAGTCTGCTGCTCCCTCTGCCTTTGCCCTCTCTCCCCCAGCTTGTGCGAGCACTCTCTCTCTCTCAGATAAATAAATAAAATCTTAAAAAAAAAATAAAATTCAGTAAATAAGAAATAGCCTATTATTGTAGCAAAATAAAGTGACAAGGCAGACTCTTGGAAAAAAAAAATAACTCATATTATTGAGCTGTTACTGTGCACCAGTACTTTATATATATTAACTCATGTAATTCTCACAATGCACTACAGGTAGATGTAATTATTACCCCCATTTATAGGTTGAGAAACTGAGGCATGGAGAGGATAAATAATTGCCACAGTATGTGGTAGAGCGAGGATTTGAACTCAGGGAGTATGGCTACAGAGGCCATGCCCTTATTCACAGACCAAATTATCTTTCAAGAATTGTTATTTTTTAATTACAGCAGAGCTAGAATTTTAATGTATTTCCTGCCTGAAAGTGTTACCACTCTTTGTACATATACATCCTTACAAAGAATAGAAAATTCACCCAGTCTTGTATTTTTATAACTTTGCAGTGGATTGTGTAATCATTTTATTAAAAAAACTTTAAGAGAACAAATACATATGGCTGTATCATTGATAATTTTTCCAAAGAAAAGTGTACTGATATAATTTTATAAATAATATTGATAATAGATGTAACTTTTAAGACTTTTATTATGGGCAATTTTCATCCATATATGAAAGCAGAAAGAATGGAATAATAAGTATAATATATGCATAAGGCAGTGACAATTATTAATCTATCAACCCATAATTATTTCTGTATTTATCACTTAAAAATGAGGATTCTTTCTTTTTTTTAATCTGTTTATTTATTTTAGAGAGAGAGAGAGCTAGAGAGCTGCACAAGTCGGGGGGAGGGGGCAGAGGGAGAGGGAAAGAGAATCCCAAGCAGACTCCCTGCTGAGCGGGGAGCCTGAGGCGGCTCTATCCCAGGACCCATGAGATCATGACCTGAGCTGAAATCCCAAGGCAGACGCTCAACCAACTGAGCCACCCAAGCTCCCTGAGGATTTTTTTTAAACATTGCCTCCCCCCCATAACTGTAATAATTCTTTTGTATTGCCAAATAAATAGTATAATTAAAATATAAGTTTAATCCTATGGATTGGTGCTCTAGCCCCAAAACTGATACATAATTTAAATAAAAGTTATCTATTTAAAGCTTATTTAATATTATATTTGCCTCTTATTTGAATTAAAGATGGTGAATATTTTGGAGCACTTGGGTGGCTCAGTCGGTTATGCATCCGACCCTTGATCTCAACTCAGGTCTCAATTTCAGGGTTGTGAATTCAAGCCCTGTGTTGGACTCCATGCTGGGCTTGGAGCCTACTTAAAAAAAAAAAAAAGATGGGGCACCTGGATGGCTCAGTTGTTAAGCATCTGCCTTCGGCTCAGGTCATGATCCCAGGGTCCTGGGATCAAGTCGCGTATCGGGCTCCCTGCTCCGCAGGAAGCCTGCTTCTCCCTCTCCCACTCCCCCTGTTTGTGTTCCCTCTCTCACTGTGTCTCTCTCTGTCAAATAAATAAAATCTTTAAAAAAAAAAGATGGTAAATATTTTTAACTACTATATTAGCAACGTGAGTAGATTTTTTTTTCCTCCCCTGGGTCAATTAAAATAACTTAAGATGTAATATTTCTGGTTGAATTGCTTTGGGCACTTTTCTATTTGTAAATGTTTAAGTCTTGGATAAAGATAAAATAATATGTTAATACTAAATGCATTTAATATAGAGGGAAAGAGATTCTCTGTATAAGCTACTTTCAAAAGTTAAGGATAACGAGGGAAAACTGTAGTTACTGGATTATTAGGGATTTTAGCATTAGTAGAAACAGAATCGTACTCATTATAATTTATATGTTTAGAGTTTTATTGTTCTCTGAGTGCATATCCATATAGAGAATTTGCACTGTATCATTCTTTTAAAATGTGCTTTCTTGGGAAAGGATGTGGTGGGGCTATACATAGGAAAGGGTTTAGGCTTTACAGGGTAGGATCAGTGATGTCTGGGCCTGGCTTGCACCAACTTTTGGGCCAATTGCTAACTTCTGAGGAAGTATGTGAGCTGGTAAACACAACCATTACAAAAATTAAATCATAAACAAAGGTAATAAATACTCATCAAACCCCTCACTCCTAATTATTTTTACTGTGTTTTGCTATCTTCTGTGTTCTTGAGGTTATTTACGCCATGTACCTATATGGTGGGAGTACTATATAATGGTGTACTACTGCCCATCTCTTTCCGTCTCTGTGTTCAGTGACTTCATGTTGGTAGCTGTAATCAAGCATGGTGGGAGTATTTGCACTATGGAAATTGAGAAATGCTATAACAATCAGGGATTTTTTTCTTTTTTTTGGAGAGTCTTGTGAGTAAACATTTACCTGCACACTAGTGAATAGGATATTCTTTTCATACCGTGTTCTGCTTATTTGAGGATCCCTTTGTTTCACATCTGTTTCTTGAAATACATATTTAAAGGGTGATTGAAAGTCTAGAAACATAAATCTACTTTATTTCATTATCATCACAGATACATTCATTTATCATCTACAGGGAAATATGACTGAAATGAAAATAAAGTACCTTAAATAAAATGCAAAAAAGAATACCAAGTAAATATTTTTCCTATATTTTAAGACTTTTTGGACACCCTAAATAGGTACATAAATAAATAAATTATATGTATGCATGTTTATTCTGAAACACTGTGTATGTGTATGTGTGCGTGTATACATCCAATTGATCCTTGTTGTTTGGGGATTTTGTATTGCCGAATTCTCTAAAATGTATTTATAGCCCCCAAATCAATATTCAGAATACTTTTGCAGTCATTCCTGGACATGCCTGGAGCAGTGAAAAATTTGAGTTGTCCAATCACACATTCCTAGCTGAGGTTCAACAAGGCAACACTTAGCCTTCTTGCTTTAGCTCTTATACTGTAAACAATTGTCATTTTGTGGCTCATTTACGTGTCATGTTTTCACATTTTTGTTCTTTTTGTTGATTTTGCTGATTAGCCTAAGCATAGTGCTGAATGAAGTAATGTTTAGTGTTACTAACTTGCAAGAAGGCTGTAATGTGCTTTACAGAGAAAATATATGTGTTAGATAAACTTTGTTCATGTACTGGGTTTAGTGCTTTTGGCTGTGAGTTCAACGTTACCGAATCGACAATATATATTAAATAAGATGTCTTGAAACGGAAACACATAATATGTATTGATTGGCTAATGAAGATGTGATCAGGAACTGCAGGAACCTAACTTTGTATTTCCCCTTAGAGTGATGGTTTAGTATTATTAATTCAGTATTTGTGGTGGGTTTATAGAACATACCCACCACGAATAATGAGAATCGACTATCTATGTGTACACATTTGTATATGCATGACATATGTAACTACAAGTTTTCAAAGAACTAGGCTGTGGTAAACTGCTCAATATAAATGTATACAACATGTAATGTTTTATTGGTAGCTCAGATGATTCTTATGGTACATAAATATTCAAATATTTATAAATGAAGTAATGTTAATATAAGTAAATCATATTTTAAAGATTATTTTCTTTCAGCTTGTTTGTGATTTGTTAACATTAGAGAAACAGCTTATAAAGTTATTCTTTTCATTGAGTGTACTGTTCATATATAGACATTTATTAATAGAGGTTACTTTTGTGAACATTTAATTCATCATCCTAAAAGGTCTTATCTGTTCCACCCAGATTATGTATATGAAGCTTTAATGAACACTGCTATTGACATAGATTCACTAGAAGCACACTCACGTTTAGATGAAGTCTGGATCAAAGAAGTGGTAAAGAAGGCAGGGATGAAGTTAAAATGGAGCAAATTAAAACAGGACAAAGTCAGAGAAAATAAAGATGCTGTAAGAAGGTAAAACTTAACCATGTATGTTGGGGGAAGGAAACCACATAGTTTCATTCACACTTTATAATGGAAAAATATACCTTAAAATTTTTTTGCCGTTAAAATGACGTGGGAGTGTAGATTAAACTTTTCTTCAAAGTGTTTAAAACATCAGTAAGTATATTCAGTTTATAGAACTCTGAGGGTTATTTTTTTAGTTTGCCGAGTGTGTATATTGATCCTGAATTTAAAAATCTTATTCCGTCTGCTTATTGTTATGAAGATGCCAACTGTACGTGGGCAGTCATTATATATTTTGCCATAGGTCATTGTACTTACGGAAGAGGAAGATAGTTACATCTAATCAAAGCTGAATGTTGGGTTTTATTGTTAATGGTAGTTCACAGAGATGACTGCAAACCAATTCACTGGCTATAAAGATATTTAAGAAATGAAACTCCTTTGCTGTTAATTGTAGGCCTCAGGCAGATCCAGCTTTATTAACCCCAAGGTCCCCAGTTGTTACTATAATGGGCCATGTTGATCATGGGAAAACGACGTTACTTGACAAACTGCGAAAAACTCAAGTGGCAGCAATGGAAGCTGGAGGCATCACTCAGCACATTGGTGCCTTTCTTGGTATGGACACACATTACCTTACAATGTGCCTGGGAACCCTACATACTATTTTCTTAAACCAAGTGTCATAGTATGAGATAGACAAATTCAAAGTAAAAGGGAAGCCTAAAGCTTAAAGCCATTGGTCTGATGAAATGTAGAGCAGGTGGTTAACAAAACTTATTTTGTACATTCTATAAGAAGAAAATTCTATTACCTTTTTATTCTGGCTCATTCTTAGTTTGGTTTAATGAACCTACAATTCTTCAATGCTAGGTTGTGATAATGTTGCTAATAATAATTAAATAACAGCTACCATTTAATGAGCACCTAGCATGTGCCCAGCACTGTGGTGAGCACCTTATTTATATGCTTTATATTTTTTATCTTCACAACAACATCATGAGGTGGGTATTAATATTCCTACTTACAGATAAGGAAGCTGAGGCTTGTGTAGATTAAATTACTTGTTCAGGGTACAAAGCTAGTAAGTGGCAAAGCCAGGATTTACACTCAAGGCTGGGTTTGGGCTTAAATCCTGAGCTCCTAACCATATACTAAATTGCCTTTGTTGTGCAGCTGATGTTTGCTAATGAAGGGGAGACTGCCTATATAACTGTTGGTCTGTTCTCTCTTCAGAATAGATACCAGTTGGTATATTTATGAAAAGTATATTCTAGAAATAGAGTTTTAGTTTGAAATTATTACATGAAAAGAAAACCCTAAGAGTTTCACTGCTTTGTTATTTTTCAGTGTGAAATGATCTGTATTGTTCCTGATTAAGATTAATGGAAGGAATAAGTCATTTTAAAGAATTGTTGATTCTGCTTGATAATTTCACATATATTCCTTTGTATTAAGAAAGTACATATTTGAGTCCTTAGTGTTCTTGGATTTCTGTTTCCACAGTCACTCTGCCTTCTGGGGAAAAGATAACCTTTCTTGATACTCCAGGACATGCTGCTTTCTCAGCAATGAGAGCCAGAGGTGCTCAGGTCACTGACATTGTTGTATTGGTTGTAGCTGCAGATGACGGAGTGATGAAACAAACTGTAGAATCTATTCAGCATGCCAAAGATGCTCAAGGTACCATGTGGCTGACTTACGTGTATCAGGAAAGAAGTTGCTTTTTTTTTAAAAAAAAAAGGTTTTACTACTTAAAGTCGCTATTCTGGGGCCCTTTACATGTAGCTCATTTAATCTTCTTGGCAATCCTAGGATTATTATACCTATTTACAGATAAGGCTCAAAGACAGTTGAATTGTTTTCCCACAGACATAACTACTAAGAAGAGTGTAGTAGGATTCAGCTGGGGATGTGGGATCACAAATATAGTCCTTCCAATACTGTTTACTTACTTGGCATGGTGTGAGAATTTAATGGTTTCCAATGACTTTTTAAAAAACCTTTTTAGGGGTGCCTGGGTGGCTCAGTTGTTAAGCTTCTGCCTTCGGCTTGGGTCATGATCCCAAGCTCCTGGGATCAAGCACCGTATCGTGCTCCCTACTCGGCAGGAAGCCCTCCCTCTCCCACTCCCCCTGCTTGTGTTCCTGCTCTCGCTATCTCTGTCAAATAAATAAATAAAATCTTTAAAATGAATAAAAAATAAACTTTTTATCATGGAAATTTTAAACAGTTATAAAAGTAAGAATAGAATAATGAACTTCCATGTATCCACCAACTAAATACATCAGGAGTTGCAAAGTATTGATACTCTAATTCTATTATTCCTTGTTCATTTATTGTCTGGAATTCGTCTCTAAAGAGGAACTTTTCCGGGCACCTGAGTGGCTGTTGGTTAAGTGTCTGCCTTTGACTCAGGTCATGATCCTGAGTCCCGGGATCAAGCCCTGAGTCTGGCTCCCTGCTCAGTGGGGAGTCTTTTTCTCCCTCTCCCTCTGCTCCTCCCCCTGCTCATGCTTGCTCTCTCTCTCAAATAAAATCTTAAAAAAAAAATAGAGAGAAACTTTTCCTTTATATGCTTTAAATAAATTCTTATTTGGTCAAAGGTGTAAAATTGAAACTTAGAAAATCACTTAACTATCTTCTCCCTTGCTTCTTCCACACACATACTTTGTATATTCATTCTTATTCCGATATGATCTTACACCTATTGAGAAAATATTGCTGTCTTGAGAAAGTGTACCTAATGGAGAGTGCATCATATTCCCCTAGGTTTGTTGGCAAGAGAAAAAAAAAAGGTTGACAATCACTATCTAGGCCAGTTCTTTTCTTACAACATGAAAACTGAGAACCAGAGAATGGCAGGAACTGCCTCCAGTTACAGTTAATTTGTATCATGTTCACACTTGGAATCTGGTCTTCTTTCCATTGTTAATCTTTTTCCTTTTAATTCCTCAAAACTGCCTTAGTGGAATGGGCTATGTTCATCATGATTCTAGGGAATATAACAAAAAGAAGAGAGTGATAAATTTGCCAGGGATTTGCATTACAAAGCAGGTAGTTGAGATAGGATAAATTTCTTAATCATGCTTTCTATACCTGTTCTCATGTCCCTGTTAAGTTCCAGCTCATCCGTATGGAATGTACTTTTTCATAATAGTAGGTTGTGGATTGCATAACTTTTTTGTGTCTATTGTGAATTTCTTGTTTGATACCTGAGAAAATTGCAAAGTTGATGAAACCCAACCAGAGAATTATCTCATAGCATTTTATGTGATTTCTCTAATGGGAGGGTATGTTTGATATTGACAAGTAGATTATAAGATTATTTGGTTCATTCATTAAGCAAACATTTATTGAGAATCTACTATGTGTCAGTAATTGAGTGTGTATGAGTAGAGAGTTACTATAAATCCTAAAAGAAAGTTTACGATAATGCTACTTAGTTTCACCCCAGGATGAGATGTTGGGTCTTAACAATGACTTAATAGCTCCTGGAAAGAAGACGCAAATGATCTAGTGGTTTAGAATTGGATTAGAATCTTCTCTTGATTTTTTTTTCTCCCTGGAGATTATCTTCAGTGTAGTTGCTGATCTTACATTCAGGTTTAAAGGTAGGCCTTTCTCTACCCACAATGCTGTTTTTTGTTTGTTTGGTTTTTATCATCTTAGGTATCTATTCTTAATTCAGAATCTGCTTATAATGATAGTTTTGACATCTCATATCCAGAATCCTTCTTTATGTGCAGAAAGCAGTGTAGAGGGTGGCTAAAGCAGGTTTTTTTCAGGTCTGTCTTTTAGTTTAGTACATCTACTGGGTAAAGAGAAAGCCAGAAAAGGTTGGTGTCTTTCACTACCTGGCATTGAAGGTTTCCTCATCTGCACTCTTTTTAACTCTCTTTCAGTTCCTGTCATCCTTGCCATAAACAAATGTGACAAAGCTGAGGCTGAACCTGAAAAAGTGAAAAAAGAACTGCTAGCTTACGATGTGGTCTGTGAGGATTATGGAGGCGACGTCCAAGCAGTGCACATCTCTGCACTCACGGTAAATGCAGGCACCTCAGAGATGATGTGTTCAGATGGGCCTGCTGTCCCTAACGCACATAGTGCACAGAAACAACATCTTGACAAATAACGTTTCTGTTGTTGTTTAAAAGTCCTCTGTAGTATTAGGCAAAGCTGGTATCATCATCTTGGTTTGGCAGATTAGAAAGTAGGCTCAGAAAGGTTAGTCACCAGTCTAGGATTCCACAGCTGGATAGTGGGGGATCAAGTCCAGACCTAATGCTTTTCTTATTATGGGATATTAGAATGAGAACAAATGGTAAACGATGTGAGGATGGGGTAATAGTAAGCTGTTAAAGACTGTTTTAAGCAGAAATGAAATCCAATTTGTAATAAAAAGTACTTGTTTTTATAGTGAAAAAATACAGAATGGGTCTTAGGGCATTTAAGGGAGATTTAAACAAAAACTTCACTAATAAAAAGATAAAACATTTAGGTTCAGTTTGTTACTGATTGATTCAATGTTTCTGTGAATTGCTATAAGTTTTATGTTATTTATGATGAATTCCATTTTCTTTTAAATGACCAGTTACTATTTTCTGATTGAAAAACACCAAGAAAGCTAAGTACCTGCTTTGTGACAGCATTTTCCAATTCTCTTATCCTATACAGGTTGCTGCTAAGTAACAGTTTCCTTTTTTGTCCATTCCTACCATATTCCATGGTTTATACATAATATATAAAACTCTTTTTCCTCATCATTCACTGAAGGGATGGTACTATATTTGGCCACCTTCCTCTAGTTAGGTCTCATTTTATCTTTAATTTTCCTAAATTTGTTACCTCTAAGATGCTTAGCAATCATTCCTCCATTAATAGTAAAGCCTTGCCTCTTTTTCTCTGAAACTCATAAAATGCCACCTTGCTTTGTTATCTTTCCACTATACCCCAATTGCTATTGCACTCTGAAAGCCACATGGCAAGATTAAAACATTTGAAGACATGGTCACCTTTTCTGCCCAGGTAACAGAGATGAGTAGATAAATGTAAAGCTGCTTAGGCAGACTTGGAGGCATGGCAGAGACGATTCCTGGGAAGTGGAGGGAATTGGGAGGGAGTGGCAGGAAATAAGATGAGGCCTTTTTTTCCAAGTAGAGATAGAGGACGCTTCATGCAAAGAAATACCCCAGCTCTGCTTTTCAGGACAGCATTTTGTAAATTGGAATAAATGACTAGTAGGATAGGTGAGCAAGGTATTTCATCGATTTTGTTTACACTTGTCCCCGTTGTCTTATACTCTGACAACTGAGCAATCTCTTCGCTGACACAGAGAATGGAAAAATCCCTTGCCCATCAGTTCCAGTTCCATCACCACTTAATCAGCTGTGTGATCTGGGAGCCCTAGAAAGCATAGTAAACATAGATCAATAAACATGAAACAAATCATCTAATCTAGCTTCCTCATTTTACAATTGAGGAAAGGAGATCCAGGGAGTAGTGATTCTTCAAGGTTGCACAGCTTGGTGATTACGGAGTATGTCTTAAAGCCTGGGTCTGGTCCATACTTTTTCTCCTTATTTATTTAATAAGAGTAAGTAATGTTTGATTTATTTATTTTACAGCACTCTTAAGTTGATCAAATGAAATAATAGATGTGAAAGCTTGCTCAGTTGGATAAACTTCAAATGCAGAGTAGCATTGTAAAGAAAGTGAGAGGAAGAAGACACAATTGTAGAGACAGATGAAGGAGAGAGAATGAATGAAGAATGTGTTTATGAAAGGGTATTAAGGAGCACCACTAGTGGCCATCCTTTTAATAAAATAGCCATTCTTCCTTGAAAGATCTGTCCCTCGATCAGGTCTTCTTGCTTTTCCTTCCTTTGTTCTTTCCTCCCTCCCTCCCCCCTTTCCTTGTTTCCTTTCTAATTGGATGATTCATGCTTTTAATGCTTAAAGAGAAAAGTATAATATAACTGTAAAGGATTATTTTGCTTTCTGACCCTGGTATATAAATTTACAGACAATATTTTATTATTGTATATTAACTCCTTTTTTTTGTTAAAGGGTGATAATCTGATGGCTTTGGCAGAGGCAACGATTGCTTTGGCAGAAATGTTAGAATTGAAAGCAGACCCCACTGGTCCAGTAGAAGGAATAGTAATAGAATCTTTCACAGACAAAGGACGAGGGTAGGACTGTTAAAATGCTTGCTTTTTAATAATTTTGTTTCATTTTTTTTATGACTTGATTATATAACAGTGCATTATTTTTATTGTATATTATTGTTAGACATGAACAGTATTTTCAAAGCATTTGTTTTGAAACCATTTTATGGCACTAGCACACAGAACAAAAAATGCATTTATCAGTAGACCATAGCAGCTCTCTGTATATATCTACTAGTCACATTTAGATGATGTAAGTAGTTCAGTTTGAATTTTTTTTTCCCCACTGACTTAACTGAATTGGTAAATAAAGCCTCATGGACCAACAAATTGGAATGAAATAGCAATTGTTGCATTTTAGGGTTCCTAAATTCTTTATGTCCTTCCACATTACTATAATATATGGGAAGGTCTTTGGATTGCTCTTCTCTTCTTTAATTTTTCTCCCTATCAGCAAGAAGTTTCACTGCTTAACAAATTAGTTACAGAAAGAGGATTAGGATTCTGTCAGAATACTCAGCTATCTGCACCCTCCACTACCATAAGCTTATAGAAATGGTTTTTGTTTTCCATTAAAAAAATTGTGATAAAAGAAGCATAACATTAAATTTACCATCTTAACCATTTTTTTTTTT